GAGAGAGAGAGAGAGAGAGAGAGAGAGAGAGAGAGAGAGAGAGAGAGAGAGAGAGAGAGAGAGAGAGAGCACGATGAGCACGTCACGTGCCGTGGCGTGTCGCAGCGTGCCGTCGCGTGCCGTAGCGTCCGAGACGATTAAGAAGCCCGCCCCTTCAAATGGTGGGCCTTCGAAGGGCGATTTCAGGGCTGGGCGCGGGCGCACGTTCAGAAGGGCCGTTTGGGCGGGCCAAACCGGTATCGCACTGCCCAGATTGCGGGCCGGTCACCACCTGCGGACGGCCCAGATCACAGGCCGATGAGAGAAGTTTCTCACCGGCCTGCGATCTGGGCCGTCCGCGGGTGGTGACCGGGCTGCAACCTGGGCCGGTAGATATGACGTTAGCGATTCTTATAGTATTGTAGATATGAAATACTAACAAACATTCGACTTGATTCACGTTTGATGAACTTCATTGAATTTTCATTCCGCTTTATTTCCAGATGATTTTTTAGTATTTTACTAATAATTTTATTATTTTTCTTATGCAGTATTCTACAATTTTCGCCATAGTGTGCAGATCATCTGAAGGCATGATTGAGCTTTGTGGCAAGAAACTTCTTTCGATGCGGGGGAAGAGAAAACGCATCTGCTACTCACCAAATTCTGGAGGAGGTTCGTAGCGCCCGGCCGATCCCCGCATGCTTGGCTGGATCAGTGTACAAGGAGGCTGAGTATATGTGTCCCTTCAGAAGAGACAGGGTCACCACGAAACGCATACAATCACAAAAGTGAATTCAGGCCCTTGTTAAAAATATTTTCCATTTTGTTTTGGACGTGAATTGAGACCTCGACAACTTTTGCAAAGGGACCAATCAGGCATCAGTTTCCCAAAACTTAAACAGACTCAGATTACTAATATATCAAAATATTATTATTTCATGAGTAGCACAGTGCAGCACATACCAATGTTACCTGGATTATGAAGTGAGGACACACACAACGATTAACCAACCATCTCCACTGCCCAGCTCATGAGGCTGAACGTTACACACACTTAACTGTTTATGAGTATCAGATCATGAAATCAAATACTGCAAGAATCAGACGGAAGAATCAACTATGGTCAGCATAGAC